GAGGAGGATTCCGTTATCGAGAACATCGACGAGGAGTACTATCGGCTCGTTGAACATCTTCACGATTGTGGCAGGAAGGCAGAGAGTTTGAAAGTCACCAAGGGACGTCTGTCTCCGGAAACTCTCGAACTGATACGCCAGCGTGGAGCCGCACGAGCTGCAGGCAATCACCGACTCACGTCCGAGCTTGCGAAGCTATGCAGAGAGGCGATAAAGGAAGATCTCAAGGAGCGAAGAGCAGCAGTATTAGCTGAAGCAGCAGAGGCTGGGAGGAGCATCCGCAATGCCCGCCGAAGCTTTGCCAGCTACAAGACCAAGATGACCTGCCTCCGACGTCCGGATGGAACAGTTACTGCATCCCGAAGGGCAATGGAGAAAGTCATCCACGACTTCTACTCGGATCTCTTCGATAGCCATGTCCATCTGCCTACTTATCAACCGCAAGAGGATGGATACGTCGTCCCTCAGTTCTCTCTTCCGAAGTCCGACACGCCATCAAGTCGGTGAAGAATTGTACAGCGCCCGGTCTCGACAGGGTTAAACCGGAACATCTGAAGAACGCACCGCCAGTTATCATCAAAACTCTGGCTCGACTCTTCACGCGCTACCTGTCGGAATGCAAGGTACCCACTCCGTGGAAAACCAGCAGGACCGTGTTGCTGTACAAAGGGAGACTTGGACGACATTGGCAACTATCGCCCAATCTGCCTGCTGTCTGTAATCTACAAGCTATTCACTCGAGTCATCCTTAACAGGATCGGCAGAATACTAGATGAAGGACAGCCATGCGAGCAAGCAGGGTTTCCGAAGAGGGTTCAGCACGATCGACCATATCCACACGGTTACGAGACTCATTGAAGTTTCACGAGAGTACAAGATGCCGCTTTGTCTCACGTTCATCGACTTGAAGAAGGCCTTCGACTCTGTGGAGACAGAAGCGGTCATCGAAGCCTTGGGCAACCAGGGCGTCCCTACTCAGTACATCAAGATTCTTCGTGAGCTCTACAGCAACTTTACGACCAGAATCTCACCATTCTACAAGGAGGTCATCATCGACGTCAAGAGAGGGGTTCGACAGGGCGACACCATCTCGCCCAAACTCTTCAGCGCCGCTCTCGAGAACGTCATGCGTCAACTGGAATGGGAAGACATGGGAGTGAAGGTCGACGGCCGGCAACTACACCACCTTCGTTTTGCTGACGACATCGTTCTTATAACGCCGAACATCGAGCAAGCGGAGCGAATGCTGGCTGATTTCGACTGCGCCTGTGGTAAGGTTGGTCTACAGCTGAACCTAACGAAGACGATGTTTATGAGAAACGGATTGGTTCCTGATGCCCCATTCACGCTCAACGGAACGAACATCACCGAATGCTCCAGCTACGTGTACCTAGGTCGGGAAATCAATATGATGAACGATCTAGCTCCAGAGCTGAGCAGGAGGAAACGAGCGGCTTGGGGAGCGTACAAGAACATCGAGGGAGTAGTGAAGAAGACGAAGAACATCCGGCTCCGTGCCCACCTCTTCGATTCCGCTGTCCTTCCTGCCCTAACCTACGCCTCAGAGACTTGGACTCTGCGCAGGCAGGACGAGCATGCGGTCAGCGTTATCCAACGCGCTGTCGAGAGGACGATGCTAGGAGTAACCCTATACACGCAAGTGCAGAGGGGAATCCGGAGTGCCGAACTACGCCAACGATCGAAGATCAGGGACGCTGCCGTTTTCGCCAAGGAATCGAAGATAAGGTGGGCCGGACACGTCATGCGATTTTGCGATGACCGTTGGACCAGAGCATAAGAAGTTATACGACGTAGAGAAAATCCACTCGAGGAAACCGGCAACGAGAAACAAACACAATAGGAGACGACACAGACAACGGACCCCGAAAATAGGATCAAGACTAAAATAATTCCAAGAAGCTACATAGACGAAAAAGGAAGAGATGAGAACTAACAGTGTACCCACGAAGCAAGGAGAGGATCACACTGACACAAACTAGCAACCGAACACGACAGGAGAAGAAAAATAGAAAAGACAAGAATGCATGGCGCCGCATCGAGCCAATTCGAGAGAATTAAAAAACAGAGGAGAAAAGAAAGAGACAAAGAAGAATAGAAGCAGGTGAAAAAGCGATGATTAAACAAAATACAATTTACTCTGAAATCCTAAGAATAGCGCGAACGTGCTCCAGAAAGGAAGATTTTCAGATTGACTGAAATTTACCAAAAAACAACTAAGCGAGTCGGGATATAACACAGATATCTTCATTATTAGTCTGATGAAATGCTCAATTAAAAATGTTTTTATCAATTACAAATATGAACTAAAAATGGACGATTTAATTGAGTTTCTCCGAAAACTCGACGATCCTTGAAAAAGAAAATGGATTTCCATCAATAGAAATGATAAACAATGATAAAAAATTTATACGCGTAATATCATGACTGAACTCTCATTTTATTCCTATACCACATTGGTCCCCCGGCAAGCGCCGGAACTCCCTACCTTGCGTAAGCTTTCCCTTCTCCCTCCTCTCCTTACTCTCCCCTCGTTCCCGAGTAAATTATTACATAGATATGAGAACATCAACCAATCAAAGTCACTGTCAATACTCTGCCATAAAATAGTAATTCTCACCTGAAGTACACGAATTGATCAGCTCGATCAGCTCACATATATCGAC